CATGTGCTCTAACCAATGAGCCACATGGGCAGGGCTACAAGAGCAATCTGCTGCAGGATGCTGTGATTTGGATGCTGAAGATAATGTCATATTTCCAAGGGTGAGGTCCCAATGTCGCAGTTATCAATGTTCCCCAAATAATATGCAAATATTGGATAATTCCCATCTGGATTTCATTTTTTTTTTTTTTAATGGGATGGTTCCGATGTGCTTTTAGAAGAATGAAGTATTAAATTGGAATGATATATTTTTTTCTCTTAGGGCAAAATAAGTTGTATGAATGGGAAACATGCCCTGCAAATGATTAAAGTATGACGGGATGAAAACAGGGATGGCACTCAACTGATAATGAGCTTGAGAAACAAGCACCTCCTTGTTTTTCTGTCACGGAGGCTGTTTCTCTCCCTCAGCAAGCCGATCATTTTGCCAAGAAGGAAAGAAACTCCGCGAACTCGAGTCCGCTGGCACAGAGAATAAATAGCTAAAAAGGTAACCGTTCCTGGACTGCTGGTAATTATCCCGCCGCTGCCAGAGGAAGAAAGCAATTGCGGAAAGATCCAGAGGAGCCTTTCGGGGCGAGTGAGCGCGTACTTATTAATTCTTTTCGGGCCCAAGATGACAGCTCCGCTCTGCCTGCAGCACGGCGTCTTGTGGAGAAGGGAGTGAAGGCGAATGGAAGCCCCGCTCTGAGCAGCTCTCCGGCCGGCCGGCGGCCACGTGGAGTCAGACCGCCGCCGCCAGTGGCTTCGACGTGAAGGTCCAGCCTTAGGCCGGAGCCTGTGCTGTTTCTCGGTAACGCACAAGCGGATGCGGAGAGGAGAGTGGGAGCGGCGAAGAACCAGCGAACAAGGGCTCAGCAGGCATCAGGGGCCTTCGCAGACACGGCGTCTTTTACAGAAGGAAAAGGAGAGGTGACCCCGTCAGCTCGTCCATCCGCACTCCTCTCCTGACGGCGCTGGCTCACTGCGTGTCTGTGTCACACGCCGACGGCGCTTGCCACGTTGCAAACACGTTCATTATTCTCCCGTGTGTTATGGTGACTGGCGATCTTTGATGTTACTGTCGTGATTATTGTGGGGTGCCACATGTGCCCATATAACATGATGAATGCTTTGTCTTGCATCTCTTCTCCCCCACCCCCAGAACCTTCTTAAAAAGCAAGTTTAGCCGAAACCGGTTTGGCTCAATGGGTAGAGCGTCAGTCAGCCTGCGGACTGAAAGGTCCCGGGTTCAATTCCGGTCGGGGGCATGTACCTTGGTTGCGGGCACATCCTCAGAGAGGGGTGTGCAAGAGGCAGTTGATTGATGATTCTCTCCCATCGATGTTTCTAACTCTCTGTCCCTCTCTCTTCCTCTTTGTAAAAAAATCAATAAAATATATATATTTTTTAAAAAAAGCAAGTTTGGGATATCCTGGGAAATAAATATGGCAGAACATCGCACAACGTTGCATCCATGCAAAGGTCTCTCGGGGTATGCAGGCAGAACACCTTGCTGGCATATAAAGGGGCCTCGCCCCCGCCTGCATGCACAGGGAAGTGTATCAGAGGTGAGGTGTGCACAGTAAGTCCCCCACGGCGGCTGGTGGTTGTAACAAGCACGTCTCTGGTGACCCTCCCGGTGACCGGGCGTGTCCAATGGAGCCAGAATGACCCCGGACATCGCCTGCTTCCCGCGGCTGCCGGCTCACCCTCCCCCGGGGAGGAGGCCGAAGGTCGCCCAGGAGCCGGAGCAGCTCGGCTGGGCCAGGAGGCAGCCGCCGCAGGCCAGCGCCTTCAGAGGAAACACGCTCCCCGCTGGCCTCCCGGAGCATGTTCCCTAAATCCCCGGGTTTAACACCGGAATATTCCGGACGCCCTTTTGAAAATCTGATCTAACGAGTGCTTAAGGCCAGGAGAGCCGAACTGCACAGAACACGCGCTGTCAGCCTTTCATAAAAGGCTCGGGCGGCGAAGGTCTCGCCCGGGGATTGCCTCCCGTCCGTCCGGGAGCTGTGCTGAATGTGAAAAGCAGCACCGGAGCGCGGAGGCAGGGACCGGTGCGTGCAGGGGGAGGCGCGTCGGGAAGAGGGCTGTGTCCTCGGAGGGGCCGGGGAGGAGGCGTGAGGCCGGCGTGCAGTATGGCAATGTTTTTCAACCTTTTTTGGGCAAAGGCACACTTGTTTCATGAAAAAAATCACGAGGCACACCACCATTAGAAAATGTTAAAAAACTTAACTCTGTGCCTATATTGACTATATATAAAGTCATTCTCTTGAATAGGAATCAAATAAACACAAAGAAAGTATTTTATAATTACTTTATTATGAAATATTAAGTAAACAAAATAGTGAAAAATTATAAAATTCTTGTCTTGTCTGCACCTACGGCACACCAGGCAACATCTCCCGGCAAAACGCTGCAGTATGGACTCCTCTGGACGCCTCCCCGACCGGCAGAGGCGGGAGACGTCTCGCCCGTGCGCCCCGCGGCCAGCGCTGGGCAGTGTGCGGCACGGGGACCTCTGTCCATGGCGCGCTGACAAGTCCTGCCTCTCCGCGTGGGATCGGCGGGCAGCTCTGCGGGAGGGTCCGGACAGCTCCCTGCCCGGAGGCCCATGCCCCCCTGGTTCCAGGCCTTTCCACAGAGCCGCCGCCCTCCGTCTGCCAGCGAAGGCGCCTCCCGGCACAGGAGGCCCTGGCTGGGCCGGTGCTGGAGAAGGGAGACGGGGATGGCGCCAGGACCAGGTCTGAGCGCGATCGCCCACACATGACCCTCTCTACCACCCCCTCACTCCCGCAGGCGAAGGTTCTTGGGTCCTTTTGCAGACGGACTGCGCAGGCTTCCAAGAGGCTGCTGTGACGCGGGTTCGGGGGCTCTGTGTGCTAGGGGGCCCCGGGTCTGTCCCCACCAGGAGGCCTTATCAGAATCCTCATCTCGCGGTGGCTAGTTGTCCCAATGCCTTTAAATTGGTTCAAGAAATCTGTCCCTGATCATGTGCAAGACCTGGAAACAGACCAACGTGACTGAAATATTCAGGATGCCCCTGCGACCCACAGCAGGAGCTCCTATGGAAACTCCCAGGAGCCGAGATGCCACAGAAAACAGCCACTCTCATCCACGTGGAAAAGCTGTCGAGCGCCCCTCCTCCCCCCACCAAATAACGTGGGAAACCACACCCAACCGCACGTAAGACCTAACCTTACACTCTCAGGAGGCAGAAACGACACGACGAGTTCCCGTGATTTTCCCAACTACGAAAGGATTCGGTCTAAAAGGACGACAGAGTGTGCACTTACGTATGACAGAACCTCACACGCCAGACCCCACGGCGTTTTTCTGTTTAGTGGACAGATTTACCGGGACTTTGGGGCCATAGCAATCTGCTAAACAAGGTGAAGATGCAAAGAGGCTGTGAGGGGAGGACGCGCAGTTGCTCAGGGAAAACGTGAATCTACCTCCTCAGGGACTGAGACGCTCCCTCCAAGCGCCGCGGCCTCCAGAGCCCTCATTAGCGGCTCTAATTAGTCTGGTTTGGAATCGCGTCCTCCCGCATCTAACACACGTGCAACGTTAAAGGCTGTCAGCCGTACCTTCCGCTCTCTCCGGGCCTGCGTTACTTCAGCTGGTTGGGGGAAGGAGGCTTTAGGAAAAATGAGCATCAGTGGAATGTCCTTGAAGAGATGCCCAGCTGAGGCCCGCGGGCCGGAGGTACCTCAAGCCTCGTGGTGCTGCTGACCCACACTGCTACTGTTGCATCATCTGGGAAAGGTAGCAAGCTACAGTTTCTATCTTTCTTTCTTTCTTTCTTTCTTTCTTTCTTTCTTTCTTTCTTTCTTTTTAAATATATTTTTTCACTGATTTCAGAGAGGAAGGGAGAGGGAGAGAGAGACAGAAACATCAATGATAAGAGAGGATCACCAATGATAAGAGGATCACCAATGATAAGAGAGGATCACCAATGATAAGAGAGGATCACCAATGATAAGAGGATCACCAATGATAAGAGGATCACCATTGATAAGAGAGGATCACCAATGATAAGAGAGGATCACCAATGATAAGAGGATCACCAATGATAAGAGAGGATCACCAATGATAAGAGGATCACCAATCCGCCACCTCCTGCATGCCCCCTACCAGGGATTGAGCACACAACCCAGGCACGTGCCCCTGACAGGAATCAAACTTGGGACCCCTCAGTCCGCAGGCCGACGCTCTATCCACGGAGCCAAACCAGCTGGAGCTCAGTCTCCGGCTTTCTTGGAAAACCCAGAGATCTGCTTTGTCATGGCGATGGCCAGCTGCACCTGCGAAATGTGGGAACCCGCTGGGAGGAGACACTGCTGTGTGGCTCTGGACAAGTCACTCACCTGCTCTGAGCCTCGGCCTGCCGACGCAGAATGCCAGCTGCATCGCATCCTGTCCTGGGTGCTGGGAGCCCAAACCCAGCGTCTGGCTGACAAACGGCACCGACTCCGTCACGACGGGGCTCCCTGTCCCAGCAAACCCCCCTCTCCACGGCCTGGGGGCCACTCGGCCCTGGGGGCGGGATTCCTTCTACGTGTCCATATCCAGCACGCCAGCTCTGTGATGTCACTGGGAGTGCCGGGCGGGGGGTTGGGGGAGGCGGTGGCACATCAGCCAATACCCACACACACACACATGTCCATTCAGTGTATCAGCAAAGCTCAGTGTCTCCTCAACTCGGTGCTGAGATTAGGTCAGTAAAGGGCCATGTTTAGTAACACACACGAGGCCTCTTCCACACGTCAGCAGGCATTGTACGAGTCAATCAATGAATGAATAAAATGACGGATGAATAAATGAAGAAAAAAGAAAGGCCCGGCCGGCGTGGCTTCGTGGTTGAGCATCGACCTAGGAACCAGGAGGTCACGGTTCGGTTCCTGGCCAGGGCACACCCCCGCGCTACGGCTCATTTGTCGACACGGTAATGGTGCCCAGGCGGCGGGCCTTGCCCGGAAAGGTACCCAGTAAAGAGCAGAAGTGGGCGCATCTTACCTCCAGCGTGAGGTGGGGGCCCGCACAGCAGCACCACGCCCTGGCCTTCCCGCACCGACACCGCGCTCCGCATCCTGGTTTTGAAGTTCTCGAGATCTGATTGGAAAACAAAACGAAACAGCGTTTCAGAAAGAAACGATGGTGAAATGTCCGCACAGTGACGCAGTGACATTCACAACCAACGCCAACCCGCCCATCCTGGGTCTCTATGACAGCGTCAGAGCAGGGTGGCCCCCGAGGGCACACGGCGCAGGTGTGAGCATTCAATAACCGAGAAAGGGGACCCAGAGGAGGAGACGAAACAGCTTCGGCCAAATATCTGCATGGCCCGGCACCCACACCCGTCACGGCGATTCACCAAATCAGGGCCGCGTTTTGCTTCTCCTGCAACGAGAGCCAACTCATCACACGTTCTCCCGCTGAGACAGGTTATCAGCAGCAGCACAGACACATTTAGTCCACCTGTGATCGGTTTTGCTATTTATATACAGAGTTGAAAATACTCCTAGTCCTATCGTGGGATAGAGGAGTCCTATGGGTCCCACGCCTTGGAGAGTTCTGTGCGGGTGGTTCCCGGGCCGTGACCGAGTGGGGGGAGTTGGCAGGAGAGCAGTGGATCACCTCGCACTGTCCTCTTGGCTCTGAATAAACAGAAGCCGTCTTTATTATTGCCCAAGGAATGTCCTTCCGGTGGGTCATGAAGCCAGAGGCAAGTGCTATTTGGATCGCCTTCGTAGGCTATTTTTAAGACACTGAGTTTCCTCTAAGAGCAATCAGGACAGCAAGTCCCGACTCACACCCTCCGGTTTAAACGACATGGAGACAATCCTACCGGTTTTATTTTGAACAACGCGGAGGCCTCTCTGGGGAAGGGAAGGAAAATAATTTGTCCGTTCTCGAACGTCTGACTAAACAGGAGGGGACTTCCACGGGCAGCCGATGGTGTCCCACTCTGTACCCAGGCGCCGGCACTGTGCGTTTGTGGGAAAATGCACCGTTTCATGGCGCCTGACAGTGGACGCAGACCGCCCACGCGGTGACCATGCAAAGGGGGCAGTGTGTGTATTGGAGCGGAGGAATCTAAGGTGACCAGCCATCCTGCTTTGGACAGTTCCGATTTTTAACAATTTGTCCCGCGACGTTTTAAAAAAGTCCCGATTTTTCAAATATCGGGACTTTTTTAAAACACCGTGGGACTCGGGATGCGGGATGTGGGACAAATTGTTAAAAATGGTTAACTATCTGGTCACCTTAGGGAACTCAGGAAATTTCAACTCTGCCTTGAAAAATGTAAAAAGGCAAAGTAATTATCTTTGAATTGATGAAACTACAAACTGCATACATGTGACTGTCCTACGCACTTTAAGTCCGTGCATCAGCCCTGGATGTGAATCACAGTGGCTAGAACATCGGCCTGGGCACCAAAGGGTTGTGGGTTCGATTGCCAGTCCAGGCCATGCACCTGGGTTGCTCCCCAGCCCCGGTCAGGGTGCATGCGGGAGGCAACCAGTCCATGTGTCTCTCTCACCTCCATGTTTTTTTCTCTCTCTTTTCCCCTCCCTCCCACTCTCTCTTAAAAGCAATGAAAGAAATATCCTCAGGTGAGGGTTAAGAAAACATTAATCGGTGCATCCAAGGCAGGGAGAGAAGTGCTTCCTTTCATTAGCCCTGGATGACTATTACACTGCTGGTACAAGCACAGAGCGAAGCAAATCAGCGAAGCTCACAGATACACGGCGATAAAAGGAGCCAGAGCGTGATCTGGACTGACCCCAACCAGAGGTCCCCGACAGAAGTGTTATGATAACCGAGCATCAAACGTGTGAGTCACGTGCAATATCATCACAGCACACAGTTCCGTTAGCACTGCCAAACTGCACCATCCGATGGGTCCAGGGCTGGGGTAGGGAGAGGGGCGGTATACCAGGAGGAGCCCACACGTGGACAATAACCAGTGGTGCCTTTCTGATCTGCCGTGGGTGTCAGCCTTCGGCTCTCCTACCCAATTCCTGTTCCCGCAGCTATTTAACGTCACACGGTGGAAGGGAGTCATCGCTGACTTAGTTCTAGAACAATCACGTCTCCTCTCCCTGGAAGGTAAGAATCTCTATCCCCGAAGCACCAGTCCTGCTGGGCACAGGGGTGACCACTGCTCAGGACGCTGCACTGGTGCTGCCTCTACAGCCTGTGAGGACGGGCATTGTCTGTGGGGCTCAACGTGGCTGGTTCACGGAGCACACACATCCACACGCATCTACACGCATCCACACAGCAAGGACAGTGACGGCTTTGACATGCTTCCCATGGCTCTGCTCCTGGCACAGCACTGACTACCATGGACTTGTTCCTGTAAAACAGAATGCCCTGGATTCTTAGTTGATGTCACCAGGCTGTGTGTCTAGGGCCCCAGCCTCATTACCGCCTAAAAGTCTCATTGCAAATGTGGATGACTATCTGTGCACCCGGCTGCATCAGTAATGTTTTGTATTATTTAATTTTTTCTTTTCATAGAGGAGGGGACAGGGAAAGAGAGACAGAAACATCAATGATGACAGAATCCTTGATCAGCTGCCTCCTGCACACCCCACACTGGGGATGGAGCCCCCAACCCAGGCATGTGCCCTGACCGGGAATCGAACCATGACCTCCTGGTTCATAGGTTGACATTCATTCAACCACTGAGCCACGCTCCTTCTCCTTGAAACAAAGCTCTCCAGGGGCACCAGAGGGTTGGGACAACTCGGCGCACCTGCGTGAAAGCCGCAGTTTAAAAGCCAGTTTGGTTCTGAAGGGGCCTGGGAAACGCCGGTGTTCCTAGACAAAACCCCGCCAAACCAACACAGCTGGGCTTTCAAGACCCACAGGACCTGCTATTTCACAGCCTCCCCGTGGAGCTGGGGGTGCAGGCAGGGAGCCCTAATGATGGCTTCCGAGAACACACCCCGGAGCCTTCCGCCAACACAGCCACACGCCAACCGGGCCCTGAAGCGCTCTCCTCAGAGGACAAGGTCCTGAGCCTGGGAACAGATCACAGGGCCTCAGTGCAGGTACCTTAATTACAGCCGGGAATACTTTTTTAAACGTTTTTTAACAGCCTCAAAAAACGTGGCTGCCAGGAAGCAGGGACAGACAGCCGGCCTCTGAGTCTCTTACTAAAACCCTCCGTGGGATTCTGTGCAAACGTCTCAGACCCTGGGAGATGCTGCCTCTTACGCGAATGCAGGTTCTCCTGAACCTGAGCGAGCAGCCTGCAAAGGGGGGAGGGAGGGGAGGGAGCAGGGAGGACACACAGCTGCTCAGCAGGGTCAGCAGGCCCTCACCTGCCACCTGTGCTCCTCACCTCCTGCCATGCCCCTTCTCCTTACGCTTCAGCTCCTTCTATCTAACGTGGCCTCTTGTGTTTGACGGGCGCTCACACCCCCAGGGAACCTCAGCGTGTCTACTGCGCTTGCCCTGCAATTAGCAGAGCAGTTGCTCAGCGATACTGGCTGAATTGCACGGGTAAAATGAGTTTAAAAAGCTCCCGATCTTTGCACTCGGGGGTTTGTCTGAGTGTATCCATCTCAGGGACCTTTTATACATTTCATACAGCTGCCTTTAAGACACGTGATTTTAACGTCGAGTATCCGTTGTTGCATTGTACCCTTGCTTTTATCTGTCACAGGAACATGAAAAGTAAAAATAAACTAGCAAAGCAAGGACTCTCCTAATTCTACAAGAAAACAGCAACAGATATGGACTCCTTACCCTTGTTTACAAATAGCTTATTATTGACGTTGGCGGGAGGCTGGCCCTAGCGGAGGCCACTTCCTCGCGTGGCTGACTTCTATTTTCTGCTGAGTAGCTCTTCAAGGGATGACTTAAAGAGCGAAGAAAGTCCCTCCTACCGAACGTGAACGTGGGATTCAAAGAAACACGTGCATTTCCCCCGAACTTTAACCCTGGGTCAGACTCACAGGAATTTTAACACTTTCACAAACAAAAGTATGTGATTTACAATGAATGGGGAATAATTTAAAAAGTTACATTTTTAATAATGACTTCCTGGTAATTTTTATGAAGGCTTTAAAAACACTTAGCCAAGAAAAAAAAAATCAGCCTAATATAAAGTGATTTAAGAAAAAGAAAAAAAAAGGGAGGGGATGTGTATTATTGTGACCTTTTAACACCATACTCTAAAATACACTGGAGCATAGGAATAGATGGATATAAATATTATGAGCTCCTGCCTGTTGCCATGGAAACCTCACTATCAGTAAACCTCTGCATATGCATTTGCCTGTGTTTCTGGGGCTTAGCAAACAAGCAGATTCTTACCGCTTGTTTTCCGTATGAATGACATCCAAGGTCCATCATAAGAAAAGAACGGGTACAATTTATGCGACAGAAACGCATCACCCACGGCACCAGGTGCCACGCGGACCCATGAGCCCATATGGATCCCCCCCCTGCGTGCCTTAAAGGGCCCTGGGAGAGGGTCCTCAGTATAAACGTCTAAGGCACAAACACACAGACAAGTTAGAGAGCGAGCAGGGCACCATGCTGCTGCAGAGGGCAGGGCGGAGCGAGCATGCAAGCATATCATGGTTAGAATGAACACGGCGACTGCCCGCATGGGCTCTTACCCTTCGGGCCTCTGCCTGCGGAAAGTGCCAGAAACCGTGAGGCTGGAGGGAGAATGGCGCCCACGGTCCCGTGTTTGGGGCACCTGCCACCATGATGGGCTGGGCTTCCCCCTCTCAGAACACATCTCCTGGCAGTGCGTGTTAACTTGACTTTGAAAATATGTTTTGATTGATTTCAGAGAAGAAGGGAGAAGGAGAGAGATAGAGGAACCACAATGATGAGAGAGAATCATGGATTGGCTGCCTCCTGCATGCTCGCAAGCCGGGCATGTGCTCTGACTGGGAATCAAACTGTGACCTCCTGGTTCATAGGTCAATCCTCCACCACGGAACCACACCGGCTGGGTGTAACTTGACTTTTTAAACAGGAAGGTCTCTCCATTCCTGTTCTGTGAGAGTAAAAGGAACCTTACTCTCACAGTAAGGTCTTTGTGGTTTCTTCCTGTGCCTGCTCGGGGCCACTCATTTCCA